TAAATATGTATCTGCTTAAAGGTGAGCTACACATAATCAGCCGCAGAATAATGCGCAGGCATGCACACCTAAAACACCCTTTACTTTCTGCAAACAGGACGCCTGATGAGTCTTGATTCTGTCTGTAAGTTGATGCAGCTGAGCGATGAATCAGACATCATGGCTGCTGGACGCAGCCTCCCAGCGCCTGTCCTCAGGGACCCAGTCGAGTAAATAATGTAAATAATGTAAATTCAGGGCTTCGCTGTGGACACTGTGCTGTGGTTGGTTATAAATCATGAGCTACCTGTGCCCTGTGTGTTTACTGAGAGCACAAAATGCGACTTGTTGTAATGGCAGCCTGGTAATGTTACCCAGTGCAAAGCTTCTCCTGTCTGTCATAAAGGCAGATCTGAATCGCGCCGTAGATTCAGAGGGATTAGGAAGGTGTAATTAACCCAGATACAAACCTGGAGTATTTAGGCAAGGCATCAAGATGACAGAGACAGCAATTAGTGCATGTGTGTGCATGTGTTTGTGTGAGAGCAGCTTTCAAACGCGCTGAATCAAGGTCCCCGAGCGCACAGCTTTGGAGCTAAAAATGACAGCTCTTGTCTCATTCAGACAAGATTCGTAGGCGAGATGTCTCAGAGCCTCAGTACGAGCTTTTGCAGCTTTGAGATGTTTGGAGTGATCAAAAAATGTCTGGATTCCATGAGGAGTTCAGCATAAACACAATGATTATGGGATCAATGTTCATGCTAATGCCTGCTGCCACCAGGCACCGAGTCGAGATCCAAAATAGCAACTGTTTGCCACTTTAGATGGAATATCTTCTCCCTGCGTGCAGCTCCAGGCGGCGGCGGCGTATAGAGCAGGTACATGTCTGCATGTGTCTGGGGAAAGAAGTTAATTTGTGATCTGTGGCATTTTCAGAATGATACTGATTATCCCGAGAAGCGAAAGGAAACGGGTCAAGAGAAGGTGAGACTCCCCGGGAGGCCTGTTCGGCGTCATCGTGTTTAATGTCAGTCATCATCACTAATCAGGACGGCTCCTCCGTCGTCACATCGGCTAATGGCAGCAAAACACACAAACACACAGTCCAACCTCAAACCTGCACTTGATTCCATTCATAAAAAACCAAGAGGAGCGTTTAGGAAAGCAGCAGCTGCTGTCGATGCAGGGATCACAGCTACTCACTTTACAGTTTGTAAATGTTTTGTGGCGCCGCTGAAGCGTGGAGAGCTCATACATGGCGGGGGACCTCTGATCTAGGAGACGTGGCGCCTGACATCGACTCTGTTATTAAATTTTCACACACTGCTGACCGCAATATCATCAGGGGCGAGCTCCGGCGGCTGCAGACCCTCGGGTGCTGCGCCTGTTTACTGGCGTGCTGCAGCTGCTGACTGCTGCTGTGATCCTGGGCTGTGAGGCGTTTTCACAAGTCCAGCAAAAACCGTGTTCACCTGAAACCCTTCTTCCTGATTTACTCCTTGATGAAGTCAACACAGACTCGACTCTCGGTCTCGAGAAAGAAGACGTTCAAACTTATTGGACACCGAACATCCTGACGTGGAATCAGCAGGAATCTTCCTCGGCTCTCTGCAAGCTGCCTGTCAAATCCGCTCCAGCTTCCTCACTAGAAGAACAGCCGAATCGATGACTCAGCAGTTTAGGGAAGCAGCCATTTCTCCTCGTAAGAATAAAAACTCAGGCCTTTGTTCTGATCGCTTCAGAATAAGAATGAGTTTAGAAATATGCTTCTACCACCAAGGAATGACAAAACAGACATCTGGTGTGTCTGCAGCTCTTTGAGAATAAAGTTTCAATCAGAGTGAAATAGTTTGGAAACTTTAAAAAAAACCTATTTTCATACATGAGCTTTTCTCTTACTCGAGTACTTGCAGCCTCCTGCAGGCTCCAGCAAATCCTCTATTCAAGTTCTGTTTTGCACTCAGATTAATGTCTTCCACAAGTTGAAAACTGTTTCTGGGAATACTTTGGTGCAGCGAAACTGAAAATCTGTTACGATCCTGGTTTCAGTCTCCAAATGTGACTGTCAAAGCAGCGCCTGGAGTTTACCCGCGACTCCAGAAGCTGCTCATGTGATGGATGCTTTACAGCCACTGTGTCACTTAAGCTCCCGGATAGATGCTGTTTTCCTGCTAAAACATATTGTTCACGACTCGCTTCTCTCCTACAGAACTTCTCTTCTGCACAACGAGGGCCTGTTGTGCTTTTTCTTAACTTTGCGGTCAAGCTGTTAAAAGTTGGATGTGAGGATCGTCTGTTTGGCTGCGGCTCTTGTGTTTGCCCAACAGATTAAAGCTGGATAGATTTCTGGTGAAAGTAATGAGCTCCAACATGCAGCTCTGTCCCTAAATAACAGTCTTCTTGCACATTTGGTCCCAGCGTTGGTCCACACTGATGAGAATAACGAGGAGGTTTGTGCCTTCATCCTCCGTGTTCGTACTCCATCCTTGTGCTATTTTAGGAGCAGCATGACTGACGTCAATAACAAGAATTGAAATGATAAGTTTTTGAGAATGAGGGCTAAAATAAATACCCAGGTTCTGATGATTAGACTCAGTGAGGTTGTAAACTGCAAAATCGTGTTCCACCTTCAAGGGCAAAAAGTAAATTCTTCAACCGTCGCCATTGTCTCGCCACCGCTTCTGTGAAGTGCTGCTGGGAGAAATATGGCGAGTCTGAAAAGGAGGCGGCCTTGCTGGCGCAGCATAAGCAGCCTGTCTTTTAAATGGCTTGGTGCACTTATGTATTCCGTCACAACGAACGAGGAGCTGTCCTTCAGAGCTCATGCACAATAGAGACAATGAATGAGCGTCCACAAACAGCTCCGAGTACAGTACATGCAGAGCTCCGGCTGCTGCAGCCTTATGCAGATGCTCTGTTTTGTAATGTTTAGATTCAACAGCAATAACAAAATGGGCTCGACGGTGGTCCTGAAAGGTTTAACAGCATCCTGTACGGGGCTTTCATTTAGTCTGATTTTGCTGTTCTCCTCTTCTTGCCCTGCGGCGGGCGCATCAGCTCCTTCGTGTTCGTTGACAGTTTGTCAGGCTTCATGATGGGTTCACTCGTCTATACAGCCACTCAGGAGAAAAACCAGAGTCTGTTTCCTATAAACACAATCTAATGAGATGCTTTCAGGTTAGCTGCTATTATTTTTAAATGAGTATTTCTGAATGGAGAGGTAGAAGTTAGATCCAGATGTTGATCCAGAAGCTCCGGTGGCAGAACGTCACTCCTGCGTGTGAACATATTTCCATTTCTGACATGTTTTGTGTTAATTAGAGTAATTCTGGCTGTCGCTGTTTTAACTCCTGTCCTTTGTGATCCCCATTTTAATGAACACTTTTCTTTCTGAGGTTCATGTGTGAGGCTCTTCAAATAAAAGCACATTATGAACTCGCAGTGAAAGTCTGAAGTTTCAGAGCCTTCAGAAATCTGAGTGACTGGTCATAATTGACCCTCGTACTGCTTTATTTAGTATTACATTCCTTTGGTATTGATTCCTGCCTGCAGGAACAGAACTCAGTGGGAGGCTGGCAGGACGGCCATGATGCTGCAGACAACAGCAAGAGAGGGAAAAAATAGAATACAACTCACACAGTGGCTTTAGAGACTAATTATGTGTCACTTAACAGCATTTTTAGAGCTGAAAGCAGCGGTATGCGTTCAGAGCCTGAGGGTACAATCTCATTTCACATTCAGCTCCGTTTGTAGCTCCCCGCGGTTGGAGGCAGCTTTCCAAAGTTTTCAAATCAAATGACATTTACAAAACAGGGCCGTGGTTTATTTGCTCCGACACGCAGGATGTTTGCCTTCGCCGGGGCTGATGTGCATGGATGTTCAAACATTACAGGAAGCACAAAAACATAAATTACTACAGGTTATTTACTGATTGAGATGAAAACCGACAGTTAAAACACCACCGAGCACATGTGAGGAATATTAATGTCATGTATGCATGTTGTACGTGTTGATTAAGAGGCTCAACGGTTGTAAAACTTGTGAGGTTGGAGACGATCAGCTGCCAGTGAGGGACATCTAGTGGTGGATCAGGGAACCTCCTGCTGCTCAGTTTTACAAAGACAGCTTTACTTGGAACCTGTAGATGCAAAAACAAACTGTCAGTGCAGCTGGTGGATGTTCTTCTGCACTGAACATGCCACCAAGTCAGGGACACATTTCTCCAACTAATGTCAAACAGGTCATTGGAAACCTTCAATATGTGTATAAAAAAACGTTATGCACTGACAGCAAACTTAAAAACACAAAACTCCAGAGGAGACCCCTAAAATATTAATAATAACAATAAATATCCCAATAAAAACTGCCACAGTTTCTGCAGTTATTAAACTTGTCAGAAATGTTTTCTTGTAGTTTTCTCTCCTAAACTCTGCCGTCCTTCCAGGAAGCTGTGAGCTTTGTGTTTTGGACCCTCTGCCTCCAGGGAGCGCCCGTCTGCAGTGTTTAACAGCAGATCACTGTCCACCTTTCTCTACCTGCCTGCATTTAACAGCAAGCTGCAGAGAAACACCCAGAGCACTGCTGGAGCGACGCCTTCAAAATAAAAGCTTCTTTAACTTCTCTGAGAGAATAAACTGGAGGTAAAGCAATATATTTAACTGTTCTGTGGTTTAAGTTCAGTTGTTGTTGGGTTTTTTTTGTCACTTATTAATATTCATCGAAGTTTGTTTTGTTTTTTTTTGCATAAATGTCACTAAACCGACTTGACTTTTATTTATTGTCCAAACTGATGAAGGTTGACAGTAAAGGAAGTTCTCACAAAACATGAACTTCATGTCTCAGGTGAGCATATCCAGTTTGTGTTCAACTTTCCTTTACAGGATAACAAACATGAAGAGGCGTATTGTGGAATTATTTTCTCAAACGGAAGTGGTTTCGTGTTGCAGCGCAGGAAGCTTGACTCCTGCCCACCTTTGCTGCCTCCCTCCTCAGGCCTCCTCCCCTTCACTGAACTCACCACCTACAACAAGTTTGACAGCTCAGCCTTTGCGTGGACGCTCAGAGAGCAGCAGCTCAGATCTGGACTCTCCTCCACCTGCACCGGACTAACTTTGCGGTTTCCTTTCCTCCTGGTTTTTGCATTTTTTTGCTGCTATGTGCGCGTCTTGCGTCTCCTGCTGGCTATGAGGGATTCTATGTGTCCGTAGTTTTTTCTTCTTCTGCCTGTTGGACCTTCTTTTGGTGCCGTTTTTGTTAGAAATATCTGTATTTATTTTATTTTATTTTGTTTGTCTTGGTCGTGCGTAAAGTAGTGAACCATGTCGAGGAGCGCGGAGGAGGTGAACAAGCTCACAGAAAGTACCTACAAGGTGGGTTTGTTGGGAAGCTGGGAACACAACAGGTGCGACTGGAGGGAGCAGAACAGACCGTCCAGGTGTGCTGTGTAGAGCCAGTGGGCTGCAGCTTCACACGACTTTAACCTGCTGAAAACAAAACAAGGGACAATAATCAGTTCCTTTACTTTGGGTTTGAGCAGAAAAGTTCAGCACAAAGATGGAGGCAGGCAGCTCCCTGGAATCCTTCTGTCTGGGGGCTGATCATAAAGCAGAATATATAAGCTCATATATGTGATAATGTCATTAATGTGAAGTTATGAGCACACTGAAGCAGCCCGCGGTCTTAATTAACCTCTTCCTCATGTCCTTGTGCAGCTCCAGCAGTCCCCAGATTACAGGCTTTAAAGCGCTTTATGAGCACTTTTTACTTGAGGCTCTCTGGGTGTCACTAACTGGCTATTAGGGAGCTGAATTACTGGTTTTGGAGCAAATCGCCCCACCCTGTCACTGTCATTTCCTCATTAAAGGGCCGCCTTGCTCGATCAGCACCATCTGAACTGCTCTGGCATCTGTGTACATCCAATAATTAGCTTTATTAAAGTATTTTAAGTGTTGGCGTTGTGGGGAAAGTGTCCTGCAAAGCTGTTTTACCAGATGTTTTCTTAGTGGAGCGCTGAGATTTCACTGGATTTAAAAAAGAGAAACCAGGCCGATGAAAAGGAAACTTCCCCTGAATGAGCCTCCACTTAGAGCAAATCCCACCAGAGCATCACACTCTGCAAGCTGCACTCTACAGGTGTGCTTAAAGAGCTGGAGAGAATTTAAAAAGTGGTTTTCTCACAAGCGTTTAGCCGGGCTGAGCAGCTTTGATCCCGGCCTCCTCTCGGGGCAGCCCCCTCGCCGCTGTGGTGAAATGTAGGAAAAAAGACTCCGGGTTTAATAATTTAGCTGGCTGTGTGTTTTGTGAGGTAAGATTATACAGCCAGCTCCTCGGCAGCCGTCACCTCTGGCTCGCTGCTTAAATGGTGAAACAAGGCTCCCAGAATGCTTTGTTTTCAGCGAGAGAGTTCTGAGATGGAAATGATTTTCCTGCTTCAGGAGCTGTGGAAATGACAGAACGGCAGCTTTGAGAACAGAAGCTAGAAATGAGACGACAAGTTGGCGCTGACCTCGTCAGTCCTCATTTCTTGTGTTTATAAATCATCATCAGGGCAGCAGGGTCTGTAGCTTACATGCAACTCACTGCCAAAGGTAAACGCTGGTTGTCTTGGGCGTCTAAATGTGGTTCGGTTTTCTGATCCCAGCTCGTGGTTGCGCCTCAGCTCGTCCTGTCCGATGGTCACCGCTAGGTCGGACATGACATGGACAGAGACATAATCACAGAGACGAGTGGATTATGGATCATAGGTCCACTCTGTGATTAAAGAATGGTAAAAACTGGAGACCTCATTCCTGTTTGTGTATTTTTGATCTTTTGGCTGCCCTGTCTGAAGCGTGGCTCAACCCGTCAGACGTTCTGTGACGTTTCCTGGTGAACCTACGTCTTAGCTCCTGTTAATGAACAGTCAGCACGGTTTACCTCGACTCCATGTGCTTCATTCCTTATGTCACTCTGCAACGTCACAATCTCTTCCTGTTTCCGTCTCACAGAATGTCATGGACCAGTTCAACCCGGGCCTGAGGAACCTGGTCAACCTGGGCAAGAGCTATGAGAAATCCGTGGCTGGTGAGCTTCATTTTCACTGCATCACTGAACATTTACAGAAAGTTAGAGTTTAGAGAAACAGCTGACTAGAAGGTTTAAGGGTGACAGAGATTCAGGATAATATTTAGGCTTCAGGGACGACTCTGACAAACATTAATGACCGTTTTATCATTTCCAGCAATGACCCTGGCAGGAAAGTTGTATTTTGATGCAGTGTCTAAGATTGGGGAGAACGCTGCAGTTTCTCCTGTCTCCAGAGAATTAGGTAAGTTCCCATGTTCTCCGGATCTCTGCTGGGATAAACGGGGATAGTTCCCTCCTTCCTGACATTTCCCTTTTGCCTCTTGAGTCTTAAAAGCGTTTATTGTTGGGTTTTCATGAAAGAATTGAATCCACTCATGCAGAGTTAGGACCTAGTTGTCCTGCTAGATGCCTCTTAGGTCTTTGGATCCACCTGTTAAAGGTCTTTAGATGGAGCCACAGCTAATGAGATTCATGTTTGGTTTTCTTGAGTTTGGCTGCAGACTAAATGTTGTTCGTTTATTGGTTTTCATGAGACGTTTGTGGCTCTGAAGGCCCAACGTTAGGTGGTGCCGTCTGGTGTTGGTCAACCTGAAGATGTTTGAATGCTGAACAGGGAGAGGTGATGACATGATTCAGTGACAACTGTGGAAAACTCTGGTCAGTTATTTTGCAGAGGTTTCTATTATTACTATTGTTTGTGGGTAAAAGCAGCTCATTGTGACATTAGCTATTGAACTGCAATATATAACTAATGAGATAATAAATAGGACAGTTAGTGTTGAGCTAAACTTAGATTAGCCCCTAAACCTTCTGAATCACTGTTCTCAGTGTCTGGCTTGTAGAACAATACACTGACCAGAGTTTTAGGACATCCTCTTAGTAGCTGAGTTCAGGTGTCCCAGTGCCTACACACCCGAGCACCTCTGCATGCAGACTGCTTCTACAAACATTTGTGAATGATGGAGTCGCTCTCAGGAGCTCAGTGAATTCAGCTGTGGTACCGTGATGGCTACCACCTGTGCAGTAAGTCCGTTTGTTACCAAATACTCCACGGTGGACTGTTGGTGGTGTTATAACAAAGTGGAAGCTATCAGGAACAACAACAGCTCAGCCAGGAAGTGGTCGGTGTCGCCCGGTCCCAGATCGGGTTAGGGTTAGGGAGTCAGTAGCTACCGACCTCCAAACTCGGTGTGGCCTTCAGATCAGCTGAAGAACAGCTTCATGGAATGGATTTCTGTATCTGAGCCTTACATCCCCACCAGTGGTGTAAAACACGGCGCCGCTGGACTCCAGAGCAGCCGAGACGAGTTCTCTGGAGTGACAAATCACGCTGCTCTGTCTGGCAATCCGATGGACGGGTCTGGGTTTGGCGGTTTCCAGGAGAGCGGTACTGGTCTGACTGCATTGTACCAAGTGTAGAGTTTGGTGGAGGGGGGGTTCTGGTGTGGGGTTGTTTTTCAGGGGTTGGGCTCTGAATGCTTCAGCATAACAAGACGTTTGGGACAATTTCATGCTCCCAGCGTCGTGGGAACAGTTTGGGGATGGCCCCTTCCTGTTCCAACATGGCCGTGCACCAGTGCACAAAGCAAGGTCAACATAGACACGGATGAGCGAGTTGGGCGTGGAGGAACTGGACCGGCCGGCACAGAGTCCAGACCTCAGCCCGGTAGAACACCGCTGGGATGATTTAGAGCCACACCGAGAGCCAGGCCTCCTCGTCCAACATACCATTCTACAGTTCTACAATTTCATTTAGCAGACGTACATCTGAGAGCAGATCCAACAGTTCTGAAAGATTGGTCAGGAGTTCCAGTAAACACTCCTAAACCTCGTGGACAGCCGTCCCAGAAGAGCTGAGGCTGCAGTAGCTGTACAGGGTGGATCAACACCACATTAAACCCTCCAGATTAGGAATGAGTGTCTCTAAAGTTCATGTAAATGCAGACGTACAAATACTTTTGGCAATATAGTACATGTTTTATATGAGTGTTAGATGATTTAGAATCAGTAAACAAGAGTACTGCAGCGTATAGACTGTGAGCAACTCTTTAGACAATGAAAATGAGAAACAAATCCAAATATATCAAAGGTACACGTTTACCTTTAGCTTAGCTGTAGGTCTGATATTTAATTATTAACTGTTATTTAACTAACTCTATTCTACACCTGCAGATTTATCCATGAACTTGTGAGCTCTTTGTGATGGTCTTCATGCTAAATAAATAAATGAGCAACATTTACATTTCAAGGCCGTTTATTATGGGATCTGTATGTACAGCAATGATCATGCTTTTGGCCATTTAATAAAACTGGAAGATCCTTTGACCTCCTCAAACTTGCAGTTACAGCATTTTATTTAGAGTAATTTAACAGGATGAGCTGAATATTTTACAGCTTAAAGTCTGATGTGTATTTGAATGCAGACCTTCACCATCAGTTGAAGTAAAAGACTGACAAGTAGCACATTAAATACACAAAGGATCAGCGCAGCCACCTAATAAATCCAGATGAAGCTGTGGCCACGTTTGCTCTTTAGCCTGAACAGGTGAGCAGTCGCCTCAAAGGAAATCAGACGGTTTGCAAAGACAATCTATGCAAATTAATTACATGTAATTTAGAAAACATGAATCAACCTGCAGCTATTCACTGGTGCACGTTTAATCATGACAGAAGAGAAGTTCTGCTCGAACACAGCACAAGTTAAACTTTGATTTTCTCCAGCGTGACGCCGGTGTGACTGTCAGGGTGCTGAACTGGGAATTCACCACCAGTCCCCTGTTTGTTCCGAGCCAACTCCCCAGGCTAATTTACAGTCCAAAGACGTCTGGCGTCTCGACTCCCGTCACCAGTGGCACACTCCGATTTAACCGCTGTACGTCTCTCAGCTCCCCGCTGATTAGTGGCAGAACTGCTAATTAAATTCAGCAGCACAATGGGAAGTGCCACCTGGTGTAGTTCTGGTGTCTCCGTAAAACTGATGCTCCATCTGAAAAAATAAAGAATAAAACCTTCACCCGGTGTCGGCGTAACAGGTGGCGGTAAAAGTTAGCAGCGTAATGAAGGAAGACGTGGTTGGACGGCGCCAGCTCATTTTGGCTGCTTTGGATTCTCGTTGTGTTTTTATCTTTAAAAGTTGTGACTGTAAATCCACATCTCAGCTTCCTTCCCTCCATCTGTTCAGCTGATGGAAACAGTCTTTGTTTGTGTGGCAAAGATTCGGGAGTTTTGCAGTACCAGAGAATATGGACAACCGGAAAGTAAACCGTGGATTCTTTCAGCTGGTGAGAATCCTCCAGAGACCTCTAGCTGCCAGGTTTGCCTGAATCTGAAAGCGGTTCGTAAATTTTGGCATCGAAGGTTTCTGAAGAGCATGTTTTTAAAGACTATCTTTGTACATTGAAAACAGACATTTTCTTCTCAACAACAACAGAATGACGAGCCAGAAACACTCTGTGCTGGAGAGACAACGATGAGCTGAATAATCACAAGAGCAGGAATGATCAGGTTCTTATAGTTCATTGTTTCTGGTTTCATAGAACAGACAGTCAGTGTTTGAACTAAGAAATGAACCTGCAGATTTCTTCATAATGAAAACAATGCGTGTGGGTCGAGCACGCTTCTGTTTTAGTTTGTAAAAATCTGACTTTAAACTACGACAGACATGGATTTTTATCCAAAAACCCTTTAAAGCATTTTCTATGCAGGTTTTAAAGTTTTTTTTTGTCACATTTTTCTGTTTATTTTTCACTTCATCTAAAGTCCTGCAGCTCTGTGGAGCTAGAGGTAGACAGAGAACCTCAAAACATCCAAATAATAACTCCAGAAATCCTAAAAATGAATTTGTTTGATTGTGATTTTTCTAAAGATTGACAAAAACGTTTGCAGTGTCCAATGTGTTCCTAGAAAAATGTAGAAAGATGTTCCACCATCAGTAGAAAGATGTTCCACCATCAGTAGAAAGATGTT